AGAATCAAAAAGATTCCCGTTTCTGTTTCTTGTTTCTCTGCCTACATTGTTGTTAGTTTTTGGATGACCACGCTGCCATCCTCTTGCTACCACGTGATGTCATCACCCCAACTTCCGAGTGAGTTCAACTCACTTCGACTATTCTCACGAAAATTCTTTGGAGGGGTTTCTGAGTTGCTCCACGCATATTTTAGGGGAACTTCGTTTGGAAGCCATTACCAAGTTACCACGAGCTCATCGTCACATGGTAACTAGCAGCTGAGGCCACTTTACTACCGTCCCAGATCGTCTTCCTCGGAAACCTAAATGTGGCTTCCAATGCAACTTGTGGTGAAGACGTTCAACTCTTTAAGAGCATCTCTCAAACACTGGGCCACGCTCAACCTTTGAGAAAGGTGACCTAGTCGAAACGTCGATCCCGATTCTTTGACTCGAAATTTCTTTGGTACAAAAAAGCATTAAAATAAGCAACAGTGTCGGATTTCTTTGAAGAAAAAAATCGAAAAATAAATGCAATTACAATAACTATGTGGTTACTGTATTCCACACTGTAAAAAATGCACTTATGATAGGCACAAAAGACCATAAAAAACAGACCCATAGCATAACTTCACCAACCGTCCACATTGTCGGTCATCGGTTCGAAAACAAGTTTAACCTTTGTAAACACTCACACTTACTGGTTCCCATGCCTTAGCGGGAACGCTATTGTCTCTGGAACAAGTGTCTGCATTGATTGACAGCGAACAGCGAAAGTTCGTGCCACAACGGTGCAGTAGACTGGATTTACGGTTCCAAGCCATCAAGTGGAGAGAACAACATAATCGACACATAAACAAGTATGATGTACTGTGCCATTGCTTATGAAAGAAAACCAGATTAGTTAAGTGCACTGACTATATAAGAGGGAGTACTTACCATGAAGGCATCATCGTGCTCTTCAGCAATCGAAGGGTAAGTTCACTTTACCTACAACAAAACCAATTAAGTCGTTTTCTCACTAAATTATAGAAAAGACTTCATCATCACGGAAGTTATAATATCCTATTTCCGAGAAACCAGCAAAGCCTAAAACCTGCAACTGTTTCGAATTCCGATTTCCACTGTTCCTCTGCTCCTCTGCTACCATTTATTTTGTACGAGATATTACAACTTCACCTTTCAAGCTCGACCTTTGAATATGACCGATTGAGCTCTCTTCGGAACACTTTGGACCCTACCGTCCGGGAAGGCTTTCCCGATTACCCGGTCCTATTTAGGACCACTGGCTTGCCGTAAAAATGGCTTCATTACATATCAAATGGCTAAGTTAGTCTACTAGAAGTCTACTACTTTTCACTTCAGATGGGTACTATGCTTCACTACGCCGTCACTGGTGCATTCATCAGTACCGCCATCGCCATTGGTGTGACGTTCGTAATCATCTTCGACGTCATTAGCGACATCAACGAATTCCAAAGGGACATCGAAAAAGATCTCGATCAATTCAAGGTTAGCAAATAGAACCTGATGATCTGTGCTGGGTTAACACCTCACTGGAAGACAGATGCCCAGAGATGATCATGTTACCATTACAGCACATAGCCAACGACGCATGGAAGAACAATGATGGGAGCTCAGCAGAACGAAGGCGATTCAGGTCTTTAGCTCAGCCAGAATTCGAAGAGGTGGCAGCTACGTTGGCGGAGGTGGTGGTGGCGCGTATGCAGCACGCGGGAGTGGAGGCTACGCAAGGTGGTGGTGGAGGTTGTGCATGCGCAGCTAAAGCATCGGGTTGCCCACGAGGACCACCAGGTATGCGCACGAATAATACTTTACTGAAATCAATGTAGAAATTATTGTTTCACTATGAAAACATTAACAGGACCTCCTGGCCAACCTGGCCTGCCAGGAGATGATGGTCTGCAAGGTCTTCCTGGAAGAGCAGGAGCAGGTGGTCTTGCAGCAGAAGGAGGTCACGGTGGAGGTTGTATCTCGTGTCCAGCCGGACCACCAGGTGAACCAGGACCGGATGGAGCTCCCGGCCCAGCTGGACCCGCAGGAAATCCCGGACAAGACGGAGAAAGCCTTGGAGGAGGTAAAATATAAGTTTCCATTTACAGAGCCATAAATTGGGGCTAGCACAACATGAAAATGAGTGGTTCAGGAATGCCAGGACCTCCCGGTCCTCCAGGAGCACCTGGATCTGATGGACAACCTGGCAGCCCTGGACAAGATGGAAACCTGGAGCACCAGGTGAGTACAATGAAAACTATCAGAAATGAGCGATCTAGTCCTTCATCTATATTTGCTTCAGGAACGAGATCAACCAGTCAACCAGGACCAGCGGGACCACCTGGACCGGCAGGAGCACCTGGAATGCCAGGACAAGACGGTGGTCATAATGGTGCAGGAGCACCAGGACCTGCCGGACCTCCCGGCGCTCCAGGTAACGACGGAGCACCAGGAGCACCAGGCTCTCCCGGAGCAGCTGGTAGCAGCGGAGGTCCAGGAGCTGATGCCGCGTACTGTCCATGCCCTGCTCGTGCTGGGGCTGTCGGAGGCGGTGGTGGTAGTTATGGCGGCTCTACTTCATACTCCGCTGGTGCAAGACCTGCAGCTGCAGCGAGGCAACCAGCTCCTGCTGCCGGAAAATCATACTCAACTGGAGGGAGCGGAGCTAGCTACTCACGTGGAGCTCGAGGTCGTCAGGGACGCTCTCACAATCAAGGTGCTCTGCACAAAAAACGCCGTGTCGTTCACGCCGCTGCTTAGACTTCACCTTACACATCATTCGAATAAAGTTTCACAACTCCAAGATTTCTCTTTGCCTCATTCTATAGTAACGGATACAGATTATGTGCAATTTCT